TATTATCTTAACCGAACGAGGTTGAGAAGTCCCATACCGAAAGGGATTGGGAGATATAGTTCACTCTCATATCGAATGTAGTATTAAGACGATGTTATATTTGACGTCCATTACCGGATGAGGTATGCAGGCTTACGATTAATTGTTAGATTGAATATTGGGTTCACGCGTAGGAAAAACCCCTATCGACTCATAGAAGTACTGATAAGTAGGTAAAAATATAAGTTTAACATTATTGTTCTTTAAAATGTGTAATAAATAGCTATCCTACTTACTGTTTTCATGAGCCAATTTTGGAAACTTAAAAATGGTAAATATGAAATTTACGTTTTTATATTAAATGAATTTATTTAAGAAATAAAATGATTTTATTGGTTGTTTAAATAATTTTTACCAACATTTAATTTTTTATATCGGTATTAAGTATTGAGATCCTTATTATGTTAGTATGATTCATCCGAATTATTTAACAATTTCAGTTAAGGAATATTAAAATTCAGATACTTAACAGTAAAAAAGTTAAAAATTCAGATCCTTAACCTTATAAGATTTTAATTATATATATTTTTTATTTATATTATTATAGCTTTCTTAAAGATACATTTTCGTAATTATATTGGATATCACGATTTACTGTATAAGTAATGTAAATGCTAAATTTTTAATTATTTTCGATATTATTTTACTAATTTAATATATTCATTTCCATTAAGTCTTGAACCTTTATAGATTTAGCTATCAATATTTAAGTTATTTTAGTAAAAAAAAAAAATTAATGATTAATGAATGAATATATCATGATCATAAAAAAATAAACTCATAATCATATCGCATAATAAATCAATATTTGTTTATAATTATCAAAAGATTTATCATGGTCATGATTTTGTTAGCATTTAGTCAATGAATCATCCGTTAACTTATAATTACGTTTCAGTAATTAAATTTTTATATTTAAATTTATTACAAATTTTAGTACTTTAATATCATTCGTTTTAAAAAATCATTTAATTTTTTACATTATTTTTTTTATCTGGACGTTGTATAAAACCGAAATTAAAAAACAGAAGTAACCAACGAAACAAATTTAGTTACGGGTTGCTGGTTAGTTGTCGACTAAAACAGAGTTAGTTAGTGGCTACTAGCATTTTTTTTTTTTTTTTTTTTTTAAGTTTACTAGTTATTGGTTAGTTGTTGATTAATATATATATAAATATATATATATATATAGTAATACTCAACGAACTGTGAACAGAATGAATGGCACGATGAAGGCGCGTTTAACGGCGTGTACAAACTGGATCGAGAATCAGAGGAAGTTTCTAAAAGTCAATGATATTGATCCACGTGGCTTAATTTTATTGGATGATGTGGTCCTGCCTCAGGCTAAAAGCCAATAAAATAACTGGAAAAAACGACGAGAACCGTCCCGTGTGTATGACGTCACTTTAGAATCACACGACCGGATCTTCTCTACATAGCCGCGTTCACACGTGCGGTAAGTTTTTTATGTTAGTTTTTAGAAAATAAAACCCATTTTTGGCGATTACGGAATGATGAAAATAACCTTACAGGAGATTTCATTTCCTTCGATGCCCCTCGCAATCACCCTGTAATTCACTATCATCAAGCCACAAAGAAGAGCCGAGGGCATAACAGTAATTCAAATAAAATATTACGTAAAAATTAACCCTTCCGTTTGTGGGCCAGTTCTTTATGGCAATATCAATATTCAATCCCAATACAGTGTTTTTCGTTTTCTCCCATAAAGCTTTCGCCTTTTGATTGAAACCCACCAACCCCGAAACCCCGGCCGTATATCACACTGTCCAAGGACTAATCGTAGCCGCTTATTTTTGAATTCAATACCAGCCGCACGATCATTTAAAATTCAACAGTTGAGATGATTTTGTTTAACCCCTCCGCCCCTATATATTCATTGCATTGCTTCCGAAAAGCTTGTGCTCTGCTCGTGCCTCACTTGAGTCTTAGGTTTCATCATCTCTCTGTCTCATTTTCGCGTTCAGTTTTGAAGGTATTTTCCTCACGCAGAGATATTCCTCCATTGATTTCAAATATTTAGCTGATCGTTTGCTTTTGATATCTGTGTCTTTGGTTTCATTTCTGCAATTTGGTTTCAAGTATCTGAGATCCGGTTTATGTCGAATGCAGCTTGTTTTTATTCGTCTTTTGTTTTTTCTCCTCACGTGTTTATGTTTGATTTGATTGAAGCATTTTTATGTCTTTTGTAGAATCGTGGAAGATATGAATTTATTCGGTATATCTGAAATCTTCGAAATCGTTTTGGTTCTGCCTGTTTGGTTTCATTTGCTTTTCAGTGCAATATGTTTGGTTTATTTTCTGCGTTCTGGTTATAAGTATCTGAGATCCGTTCGATGGCAAATGCAACTTGTTTTTAGTCCACATATACTTTTCCTCCTAAGCGTTTATTGACTCACGATTCCTGTTTGATTTCATCGAAGCGTTTTTCTGATAGAATCTCAAGAGACATTAGTTCTTTTTTTAAAAAAAATTTCTACAGCGTTTTTCTGTTCTGATTCTTGTTTGATTTGCTCGAAGCGTTTTTCTATTTTTTTAGATTGTCGGGAGATCGGAGTTCTTTTTGTGGGGGGTTTTTGAAACCTTCGAAAACGTGTAATTTGTTTTTGAGTTCCCTGTGTTCGGTTTTATTTCTGCGTTCTGGTTTCAAGTATCTGAGATCCGTATTCTGACAAAATGTAGATTGTTTTTAGTCGCTTTTACTTTTGCTCCTGAACCGTTTCCTGATTCGTGACTCTTGTTTGATTTAATCGACGCGTTTTCCTTTTATTTGTAGAATCGCAAGAGATACGAGTTTTCTTTTGGTATACTTAAAAACTTGGAAAACTTTTTAATCTTCGATTGCGCCTGGAATCTTTTATTCTATATTCTTTTTGGTTAATTTAATCGATGTTATTGCAGAAATTGGAAAAATGACGAAGCAGTACCCAACTGTTAGCGAGGAATACAAGAAGGCGGTAGAGAAATGCACTAGGAAACTCAGGGGCTTCATTGCCGAGAAGCACTGCGCTCCTATAATGATTCGTATCGCGTATGAGCTTCATCTCCGTATCATATCTCTGAATACATGAATATATATCTAGTCAATGCCTATACGAACTTTGATATATGGTTGTTGTGTTAGTTTATGTGATTTAGAGGTTGTTGATGTGATTGTATTAATGTGATGCAGATGGCATTCTGCTGGAACTTTTGATTGGAAGACAAAAACCGGAGGCCCATTCGGTACCATGAGGTGCCCAGCAGAGCAGGCTCACGGGGCCAACAGTGGGCTTGATATTGCTGTCAATTTTTTGGAGCCATTCAAGCAGCAGTTTCCTATCATCTCCTACGCTGACCTGTATCAGGTAGTATGATGTCTTAATCTATTGTTTTAAAAATATTGTTTGTTTGAGTTTTTAGAATTGGCTATTAATTATTTTTGATCCGGTGTAGCTTGCTGGTGTTGTTGCCACTTGGGTTACCGGAGGTCCGGAAATTCCTTTCCATCCTGGAAGAGAGGTCAGCTTTTTTTTTGCTTTTTTTTCCCTTTTCAACCCTCGTCAACTATTAACATTGCGGGGCTCTTTAAAGACGCCTACTGCTTGCTCTGTATGGGTGTATCAGTTGGTTTTCTCTAATTAAATGTGGAGGTGTTTGCTTAATCGTTGACACTTGTCTGAATTGTATAAAATCAGGCTTGCAAATTACTTTTTCAATGTTGCGTTCGTTCAGTTCTTCATATCAATATCTAACTTGTCGATACGTTGTTGATTTAGTTCATGTCTGATGTTGATTGCTGTGTGCTGATATGTTGCGGATATATCCATGGTTAATGTTGATATATGTTCTTTATGTTGTCTTTTCGATTCTAAACAATTTGTTACTAATGTGTAATTGGCAGAAAGATGTTCATCAACGTCCTTGGGTTGTTGTATTCTAATGCTTTTGCAATCAATTATGCACTTTTTGCTTCAAATAGTCACTCTCCAATATATTGATGGTACTGATAACTATGTTCCTCTGCATTTCAGGATAAACCTGAGCCACCTCCGGAGGGCCGTTTACCTGATGCCACTAAAGGTGCTGACCACTTGAGGCAGGTGTTTGGTGTGCAAATGGGTCTCACCGACAAGGACATTGTTGCTTTATCCGGTGCCCACACCTTGGTTTGTGCCAAGCATACCAAATATTTCTTCCCCTTTCTGAGTCAACGCAATGCTCTCATTTCTAAACTTATTGATTTGGAATGTGTTTTTTTATTTTTCCAGGGAAAGTGCCACAAGGAAAGGTCTGGTTTTGAGGGCCGTTGGACTGAAAATCATCTCATATTCGATAACTCTTACTTCAAGTGAGTTGACAGTCTTCTTAATTTCATCTTCTTTTTCTATATCCTGCATCTTAAACATTAGAGTGTGTTTGATAACATCTCCTTTAACTTAAACAAACACTGAACAGGGAGCTCTTGAGCGGAGAGAAGGAAGGCCTCCTACAGCTACCATCTGACAAATGTCTTGTATCAGACTCTGCATTCCGCGCTTATGTTGAAAAATATGCTGCAGTATGTGATTTTTTTTTATTAATCTTTAATTGTTTTGTCCTAAATTTTTGGTGTATTATACCCTATTTGAAAGTCCCCGGATTTTATTATGCTTGGTTAATTCATCTTCTGCAGGATGAGGATGCTTTCTTTGCCGACTATACTGAGGCTTTTATTAAGCTCTCTGAGCTGGGGTAATTTCATTGTTCATAGTTGATTGATAGTTCTAATGCACATACATTTTAAAAGCTTGATTGCTAAGATATTAATATTCCTCTGATTGTGCAGATTTGCTGACGCTTAACTTTACAGAAAGATATTATTCAAAAGCTCCCCCTCCTTTTTTGGTGCTCAGCACAGATTGGATCCTCTACAGATTGAGTTTGTTCTTTTGTGTTTGGAGGTTCATAATGAACTTTTGGGGGTTGGACTTTTTTAGCTTTAAATTTGTTGGCGATTAGATGTGCAGAAAGATGTTTGGTTAAATGCCATGGATGGATTGATGTGTTTTACTTTAAATAATCAAATTCCCTGAGCGTTTAATATACCTAGCTCTCTCTCTCTCTCTCTCTCTATATATATATATATATATATATATATTAATCTATGTATTTTTGTCTTCTCTGTATTTTTATACTGTAACTTGGTGGTACATGAAATTGTAGAAGCATGTTTTACAATCTCAAATGGAGGATTGAAACCGGCCGACATATATACATGTGGGCTTAAAAGTTTGACTGCTATTTAACTAAAATGCTTGATAACTTCGCTGTATGAGATATGAATTTTAGAGTTGTAACGGGCCATGTGCTTGCTTCATAAAAAAATAAAATAAGCCTTCTCTTTCTATGATCTGGGAACCTCATGGTTTTACCAATAATAATTCGTTACTAATAACCTTTTGGGTCCAGACTGAGATAAAAAGTGTTTTGAAGTTGCCCAACTAAACGTATTTAAAAGTAATAAATTGCTTGTAAGTTAAAGCCGATAATTCTTTTTTTTTTCTTCAAAAAATAAGTAGTTTTTTTAAATAAAAATAATAAAAAATACATATTTAGTCTAATTATTTTATTATTTATACTATCATATATATATATATACTGTTAATTTTTAGAAAATATAAAATAGTTAAGTAAATTGTCTGAATAAGAAATGAAAAAACAATAACATGCTGTTTATTATTATTATTTGTTTAATAATTTAAAGTCAACAAACTGAAAATAATATTTAGCGATGTATGTATTTAATAAATAATTGTAAACACGCTCTTGATTTAACATATAAGAACTGATGTAAAGAAAATTGAAATATGAATTATAAGACCTTTTATGTTTTATTGCGTGCCCAAAATTATAGTTCGAAGAAGTCCAACTTTGATTTAAATTTACTTTTTATCGAGTTTTTACTTTAAATAAAATTTATTATTTTTAAATTTACAGACAAAATTTAATATATTTATATACAATAAAAAAACATTAGTTCTATATCCTTAGTTTTTTAGTATAAATTTATGATCCCGTATAAAACAAATACAAACTTGGGAAGTCAAGGAAAAAAAAAAAAGACAAAAACAAAAAGGAGAAAATAGATAAAAGGTCAAAGTGCTTTTACCTTGTTCGGTCAGAGTTATCAATTTGCTCTTTATTCATTAACACTTAAAAATGGAAAACTCAAAAGTGTTAAATTCAAAAGACCTTTGCTCTTTGTCCCTCCAAATCCTCGTGTTCTTGCCGTGACGTTTTGAAGAAGTTTGCTACTTGCCTAAATTTCCACCAAAACGTTGACGCATTTGTCAAAATTTGCGTAACCTATTTAAATTGTGTTCATTTAACTAAAAACAGTAATGCCTTATATAAAAATAAATTGATTTTGAGTTTGTTCTATTTTTAAAAAAAATTATTTATACATTAATATAGTTTTTAATTAAAAAAATTTATTTTCTATGTGCTAAAAGTCTTATTAAGTTAAAATAAATAGTTGTTTTGTCTTAGTTTTATCCCAAAAATTTAGAAAATAATATAACTATCCTCGTTAGAGGTATATGTATATATATATTTTTAATATATTTTATCGTACTTAATAATTAAGACTATAACAATCCGTTATCTAATTAGAATAACGAGTGTTTGATTGTACTAAATCATTTAATATGTAATAGTTTATTTTTTAAAAAATGAAGAATTTAAGTGAGTTATATTCCAAATTTTATTTCAATTATTTAAATCAATCCATCTCGATAACTATATTCTCGAAGGTAAATAAATTTTTCGAGTTTGGAAACATAATCTCAATACCCTTTATGGATTACGTGGTCTCCACATGCGTCAGGGGTAGGTCACTGTTTTAACTGATTTGGATCTGATTGTGAAATATACTACTCTGAAAGAATACAATGGGATGCGCTACATGTGTTGAGTAAGAATCATTTAACAAGTTAACCTAACAAACTCTAATTAGTATAAGCGGGTCTTCCTGCACTCTACCCCTAACAACGTCTAAATTACTATGTTCTTTAATCTCTTAAAAGTTTAGGTGCCTTCTTCGTAACTATCCAAATGTATTAATGTTATCCCTCATATTTTTACTATTATTGTTCATTTACCCTTGTCTTATGTAACAATTAAATTTTTCATTGAGATATCAGATAATCTATAATTATTAAGAGTTTCAAATTTTCAATTACTATGCTCATACTATAATTATTTTCACTTCTCTTCTGATGAACACAAACAATCTCAGTGTTAAGGAACTACAAATGTAAATATTTATTTAACATACCATTTATCTCTTATATCACAAGTGGATACCGTTGTTTCATCGTACAATGCCATTTACATCATTATCAAGAGGGAATATTCAATGCTACTACTAATACGTGGAGATAAATTACCAATAAATACTAATGGAAATCATACGATACTATTAACAGATGAGCTCACACTCGACTATATGGTCACACATCCACATTTGCCCCTCAACGACCATTTCAGACCACACACACTGTTCACATCTTGGCACTCACAGCACTCAAGCACGCAAACTATTCCGCTACCTGA